GCTTCCGCACTTTAAATTTCCGCGCTTATTTTTCTTGTGGTGTGATTTTGGTTTATGAGATTTTTACTTCTTTGTGAAAAGAATTTTTTAAAATACCAATTCACCCCCCCCCCCTCTTGGTTAGCTTGGGCCAGTTATATAGGGCTTAACATCCCTAACGAACTTTCATGGGAGAGAACGATCCTCCTCTCGAATAGAGGATCACTTGTATCTTGCTTTATTGTTGGTTTGTTTGTTTCGTTATTGCAATTTTATTGTTTTTGGGGCTGATTACGCCCAGATTTTTGCTCTATTCTCGCTGTGTTCTCTCCAATTAGTTATAGGTTTGCTTGCGAACTCAAGTATTCCCTTAGGGTTTCTTGCCAACTCAAGTATTTCCTATCAAATTGGTATCAGAGCAAGTCTTAGGACCGGTGGAGGGCTGATTTCAACGGATTCCAGCAGCAGTTTTTCGCTCCAAATCGGAAGAAGTTGCTGTTTTTCTTTTCCAAATCCTGTTTCTGTAAATCTACAAACTCCGGATTGTGATGGCGCCGATCTTCAATGGAAGGACAAGTCGCCGATCTTCGAGAGATGATAAAAAAAATGCTGGAAATTCAAAACCAAACGGTGGCTTTAGTGGCAAAAGGGAAGGAGGGGAAAGGTACGAATTCCTAAATTCGTAGAGAGGGAGATGAGATGGAAATCATGGAAGGAGAAGGAAGAAGACCACATCTGGAGTCTGTCCAGAGGGAAGAAAGAGGAGGCGGATATGGGGAACGCCAGAGGCGCTGATTTTCAAGAAATAATGGGGGATTTCGAAGGGGGTTTAGGCTATGGCAGGGCTAGAGAAGATCGGGAAACTTGGGGGGCACCTAGCACTTGGGAGAGGGAAAACAATGGAAGAATTCGAGGCAATAGAGGGGATCAAAAGGTGAGGAAGTTGAAGATGTCCATATTCGAAGGAGATGATGCGTATGGGTAGATTTACAAGGTAGAGAGATACTTCACCGTCAATGGGCTGACGGGGGAGGAGAAGCTGACTACAACTGGATTGTGCTTAGAAGGGAAAGCCCTGTCGTGGTTTCATTGGAGAGACCAGAGGAGGCCGATCAGGAACTGGAGAGAATTTAAAGAATGCATAATAGAGCGTTTCCAAACCGATCGGGGAGGAGACTTCTACGAGCAATTCTTTACTCAGACACAAGAGGGATCAGTAGCAAATTATCGGGAGTAGTTTGAGCACCTAGCTAAAAGGGTGGAGCGACTCTCGGATACAGTATTGGAGGAAAATTTCATGAAAGGCTTGAAGGCGAAGATCCTAACAACAATAAAGGTTTTGATGCCCAGCGACTTGGGGGAGGCCATGAAGTTGGCCCAACTGGTGGAAAATTAAAGGAATTTGGAGAAGGGAACCAAGAGTAGCAGCACTGGGGGCACATACAGGATGACGACCACTTATCTCGCACCTAAAGGTCCTGCAATAGGAGGGAGCAAAGAGGCCACTTAGGAGAAAACAGGAGGGCATGGGGGAAATTTCAAGTGGTTGACAGAGAAAGAGATGCAAGAGAAGAGGGCTAAGGGGTTATGCTTTCGATGCAATGAAAAGTACACACCACGGCATCAATGCAAGAACCGAACTCTTTAGGTTCTCACCGTCTGCGATGACGAAGAAACTGAGGAAGGTGAGGAGGAGACAGAGGAGGAAAAAGAGAAGGTACACTTGGATCTGGCTGAGGTTTCCCTAAACTCGGTGGTGGGATTCACTACGAATCACACCATGAAGGTGAAGGGAGAAATAGAGGACAGGGAGGTTGTGGTGCTGATTGATAGTGGGGTTACCCACATTTCATTTACACCCAAGTCGTAGACTAACTGGGAGTGAGATTGGTGGACACTGACTGTTACAGAGTGATAATGGGTACGAGGAAGATAGAGAAAGGTCAGGGGATTTGCAGAGGAGTGCGACTGACGATCCAGGGGATACATGTGAGGGAAGACTTTCTTCCACTAGAGTTGGGGAGCACGTACGTTATACTAGGGATGAAATGACTACAAACTTTGGAAGACACCAAAGTAAATTGGGGAGCACTCATGATAGATTTGATGGTGGATGGAAGAAAGGTAGTAATTAAGGGAGATGCGGGGCTTTCCAAATCCCTGATTTCTCTTAAAACGATGGTGAGGAACATCCAGTTGGCAAGCGGAG